TGATAGAACCAGATGCCATGATCTTAATCTTAGTTTTTTGAATGTTGAGTTTTAAGCCAGCTTTTTCACTCACTTTCACTTTCATCAAGAGGCTCTTTAGTTCTTTGGTTTCTGCCACAAGGGTGGTGTCATCTGCATATCTGAGGTTATTGATACTTCTCCCTGCAATGTTGATTCCGGCTTGTGCTTCATCCAGTTTGGCATTTTGCATGATGTACTCTGCATATAAATTAAGTAAGCAAGGTGACAGTATACAACCTTGACCTACTCCTTTCTCAATTTGGAACCAGCCCCTCAGTTTAAAACCATACAGACCAGTTATTTTGTAGACTCTTGACTAGATTCAGGTTTTGCATTTTTGGCAGGAAAACTATACTGGTAGTGCTGTGTTCTTTTCAGTGCTTTAAGAGGCACCTATTGCTGGTTTGCCCCAACTTGTCACTTGATTAAGGTAATTCCTGCCAGGTTTCTCCACTGAGAAGTTATAATTTTTCCATTTATAATTAATAAGTAATTTGTGAGGGAGAAACTTTGAGACTTTTTATATATCCTGCTTCTTATCAACTGTTTGCTTACCAGTTTTAGCATCCATTGGTGATTTTCTAATTCCATCTCTCCTTTTATTATTTATTAGTTGGCAATTTAGCTTTCTCTCCCACTTAATTAATTATTAATCTGTATCATTATGGACTCAAAGATTCTTATTTTATTCAGTGGGTTAATCTATACCTGTAATTTATTTTGATGCTTAACATTATCCCGCATTTGGTTAGTGAGAGCCCTGTAAATTGATTCCTATATCCTTTTGATATGTTCACATCATTGAGTACTTCCTGACATTCTGTCTTGAGATATTCCAGACTCGTGTTGTACCCTTCCTGCCATAGCTCTGGAATTAGTTTTCTCCCCAAGGAACCCTTGGTTCTCTTTTATTGAGATTGCGGAACAGACAGCAAGATCTGAGCATGCTCATTGTTACTAGTGTGCTCATTGCTTCTAGCCTTTCTTAAGGGACTGAGCTAGGAAATGACACGCACATGCACACACACATGCACACACAATACATCTATTGCTCTGTCTTTTAAAAATCATGCATTCATACCAATATCTCCGATTTCAGTCCAGCTGAACTCCCAATTCATTTGTCACTTCATTCTCTGACAGTGAAAAACCTAACTTCTACTCACCTCAACATCTTTGCTCATGCTTAGAATTCACAAAAAGTGGCCTCAGAATTACTAATCCTTACCACTGTAAGAAGCAAACCTATACTTTGGAGTTCAGTGTCTATTTCCTTAAGTAAAAGTGATATTCAGTGAAATGCACAAATTTTGCCTGTTTTGTTTGCTGAGTTTTGGTAAGTGCATACATACCTTGTCAAGATATATACATTTCCTATCATTCCAGAAAGTTCTCCTGTGCCCAGAAAGCCATCTCCCCACAAGAGGAAATCATTTGTCACCACAGATTTGTTTTACTTGTTTTAGAACTTCATATAAATGAAATAATCATAGAATATGTATTTTTTCATATTGTTTTACATTCTTGCCTTGTTTTTTCAGCTGTACTTCTTTGCATTAATTTTTAAATCATTATTTTAGGATTGCCATATGTACTTTTAACTACTTCATGTAAACAGGAGAACCCTGCAACAGAATAGTTCTAGTTTTCTACCTTCTAATTTGTGCTGTTACGTTTGTATATATGAATCTATACGTATGTTATAAAACTCTTTATACAGTTACAGCTTTTACTTTAAACAGTCATATATGATATAAATAAAATAAGAAAGATAGTCTTTTATATTTACTCACTCTTTACCATTGCTTTTTATGCCTTCTTAGAGAGCCAAGTTTCTGTCTGGTGTCATTTTTCCTCAGTGTAAAGAATTTTCTTTAGCGTTTTTTGTAGTACAGGTCTGCCTACTTATTCCTAGACCTTAATGTTCATCTCCATATTTAAATGAAATTCTACCCCTATTTGGGCTTCCCTGGTAGCTCAGCTGGTAAAGAATCTGCCTGCAATAAAGGAGACCCCAGTTTGATTCCTGGGTCAGGAAGATCCCCTGGAGAAGGGGTGGGCTGTCCACTCCAGTATTCTTGGGCTTCCCTGATGGCTCAGCCGGTGAAGAAACTGCCTGTAATGCAGGAGACCTGGGTTCAGTCCCTGGGTTGGGAAGGTCCCCTGGAGGAGGGCATGGCAACCCACTCCAGGATTGTTGCCTGGAGAATCCCCACAGAGGAGCCTGGCGGGCTGTAGTCCGTGGGATCACAGAGTTGGACACATTGAGTGACAAAGCCCACTACCCCTATTTAGCAGGGTTGCTAAAACAATTTTGGTGGGATAGAGACGGGGTGGGGGTCATATCAGAATGGAGTTCTGGTGATCTTAGGCTGAAATTCATGGGTGCTGTGGAATCTGTATAAAACTGTTTTGCACAGTGAGCTTATTGTGTTATCATCATGCTATTTATTGATAATCTTTTGGTGTCCTGAAACATCCATTTTGGTTAAGTGGGCATTCACTCACTCATTCAGCAAATATTTATTGAGCACATACCAGGTACTTGTCAAACTTTGAGGATCTTGTGGTAAACAAATTGGGCAGTGTTCCTGTCTATCAGAGCTTTTATTTTAGTACAGGGAAATCAGAACATAAAAATATACAAGCAAAATACGTACAAGTGAAAAAGATCAGACATAAGCACCATGAAGCTAGAAGTCATGTTTCCTCTCCTGAAATGTCAGCAGTTAAATTCACAAAAACACATACATCAATATATCCCCTAAATCAAAAATACTGCTCTGGTCCCCTCACCACTTTGGTCAGGAAAAAAACTGTCACAAAGCAAAGATCAGTTATCTTTATATGAGGGCTTTTTGACTTACTGATTTATATATTATGAAAGTTGATAATTTAATAAGATTAATTAGTTATGTTCAGTAATGAGAGCCCTAACATTTAAAGTAGGGGAAATAGCAAATCAAAACTGCAATGAGATATTACCTCATACAGGTCAGAATGGCCATCATCAAAAAATCTACAAACAATAAATGCTGAAGGGGGTATGGACAAAGGGAACCCTCTGCATTGTTAGAGGGAAAGTAAATTGATACAGCCACTACGGAGAGCAGTGTGGAGATTCCTTAAAAAAAACTAGGGATAAAACTACTACATGACCCAACAGTCCCACTGCTGGGCATATACCTGTGCTGTGCACTTAGTTGCTCAGTCCAACTGTTTGCGACCCTGTGGACTGCAGCCCGCCAGGCTCCTCTGTCCATGGGGATTCTCCAGGCGAGAACACTGGAGTGGGTTGCCATGCCCTCCTCCAGGGGATATTCCCAACCCAGGGACTGAACCCAGGTATCCCGCATTGCAGGTGGATTCTTTACCATCTGAGCCACCTGGGAAGCCCAAGAATACTGGAGTGGGTAGCGTATCCATTCTCTAGAGCATATTCCCGACCCAGGAATTGAACCAGGATCTCCTACATTGCAGGTGGATTCTTTAAAAAGACACGTTACCCCAGTGTTCATCGCAGCACTATTTACAGTAGCTAGGACATGGAAGCAACCTAGACGTCCATCACCAGATGAATGGATAAGGAAGTTGTGGTACATCTATACAATAATAGAATTGAATATTATTCAGTCATAAAAAGGAACACATCTGAGTTAGTTCTAATGAGGTGGATGAACCTAGAGCCTATTACACATAGTGAGATAAATCAGAAAGAGAAAAACAGATATCCTATATTAATGCATATGTATATGTATATATGTATATATATATATATATATAAAGATGGTACTGATGAACCTATTTGCAGGAGAGCAGTGGAGACACAGACATAGAAAATAGACTTGTGGACACAGTGGGGGAAGGAGAGGGAGGGATGAATTGAAAGAGTAACGTTGAAACACTACCGTATGTAAAATAGATAGTGGGGACTTGCTGTGTTTCACAGGGAGCTCAAACCCAGTGCTCAGTGGTCACCTAGAGAGGGGCGGGTTGGTGTGGGAGGTGGGAGGGGACATGTGTGTACCTCTAGCTGATTCATGTTGATGTGTGGCATAAACTAATACAATATTGTAAAGCAATTATCCTCCACATAAAAATTTAAAAAAGAATTTTTAAAAAGTAGGGAAATAATTGAAAGTAAGTAATGGATGCATTGTGTAGTTCATGTCTGTTGATAATATTAAAGTCCCTTAATTTTTTCCCTTTTCAGAGAATGTTTCAACTATCTGAATGGAAAACAAACTTCTTTTGGAGCATAAAGTTGACCTTGTCATTCTTAACCTTAAAACCTCTCAATGTCCCCACATCTTGTACACAGTAAACTGCCTCCTCAGCATGAAGTCTCCTGTTGATCTCTACAGCTTTGCATCCTGCCACTCTTAATGTTGTGTGTTCTTGCAGTTGCCTTAGTTACTTGACCACACTGTGCTATTTAACACCTCTGAGCCCTTATTTTGCTGGGGGATTCCCTATTTCAACCTGGTGAAATATTATTTGTCCTGTAAAAGCCAAACTTCATGGCCTGTATGCCCTCTTTCCCCCGTTCCTTCATAGTTTATGAATCCCTCCTGCACCACTTTGTAATCTTTTGAATATTGGACTTTCCATGAAACTGTGTAATTATTTAAAGAGTCGTTCAAATCCAGCAATAAGTTGGAGGTACTTTGAGGGCATTGTTTATATGTTATTTCTTAATGATTGTGTATTGTGTGGAATAAATAAATGGATTACCATTGGAAGCCATGTTAGAGACTAGAATATATGCTCCTTCTAGTGACTATAATAAATAAGCAGAGAAATTAAAAAGTGTCAGTATCACTCTCTTCATGTTAATTGGAATGTCTTATTAGTTCACTTAAGTTTGCAATGTAATATATGAGTTCTTTTGGTTAAAAAACAAAATTATATACAACCTAACTGAAATAACTGTAAACATTTAGGGTCTTCCTAAAGCATGTTTTCATTTCCATTAACAGAATCCAACATGGCGGAGTCTTGATTTTGGAATAATGCCAGACCGTCTGGATACATCTGTGTCTTGTTTTGTGGTGAAGATATGGGGTGGAAAGGAGGACATCTACCAGCTGTTGATTGAATGGAAAGTCTGTTTGGATGGGCTGAAATACCTGGGTCAGCAGGTAATTTTAGACTGCAGTTTCAAGTAGTTGTCCTCCCCAAAGAAACCATCTAGGTTTTTTTGTTGAATTGTCAGATTCTATGTTTCCTGTTAATAAAAAACCTTTTATGATTGTTTACTTAATTACAGAAATTTGCGTCATTGAGAAATTTAAAAAATAACTGGAAACATTTATGAAGGACTGCTTTAAGCTGCTAATTTAAGAGGATTTTGAGTGGGGTGGTCAGTAGGAAAGAATTTGCTTTCTTATAGTACTCTGCTTCTTCTGTCATGCTGGATATTTCCCCTAGAATCTGAAAAATAAACACCTCTCTTATGACCAGTAGAGTAGGGTAGGATTTTTCCAAAAATAATTTTTTTCCAAAAAATACTATTTGTTGAACACAGGGATGACAAATGCCTGGCTTATCTACTGCTACCCATTCCCCGTGACTGATGTAGGTGACTGAGCTATCTGAGCTCAGAAGTAGCTGTGCGGTCTTTTCTAACATGGTGCTCCAGAATGCACCTAGCAGTATGCCAGAATTGCATATGAAATGAAACCTCTTTGCCATTCCCAGACATAAGTAACTGCAATTAATGTTTATGACAACCTTGTGAAAGTTGATATTATTGCCCGTAGTTTCCTGAGGGGAAAATTGAGCCTCAGAGAGTTTAAGAAACTGATGAAGATCACACTGATAGATGGAGCTGGAATTTATATGAGGCCTGGCTGACTTAAGAATTCATTCTCTTTCTTCTATACTACACTGCTGTATACATGTAGTCCTTGGTAACCACCCATCCCACATTGAAATAAATGCCACTTCTATTTTGTGATACCTGTGGTACTACTGACAAAGGCAATGCTAAAAGGTTAGTCATATCTGTGAACATCCTTCATATTTCTTAATAGTTATTCAGTATATATACCATCTGGTACATTTCTTTTAGACAGTTTTCTCTCTATATTTTTCAGATTAAAAAAAAACAAAACGAGACAACTCTGCCCTTATTTTGCACACCATAGTTTATTTTGTGTTCTTGGATAGAGACCAGAACAATGCATGCAATAAATATTTTCCTTTACTAAATTCTAACCTGCTCCAAATTCTGTTTTATTTTTATATTTTTTTCTTCTCTTTTAGGACTGATCTTAATTAAAACTCATGAAGTAATGACTTTGGCTTAGGGTCATTCTTTTAGTCCCAAATGCTTGTTGCCTTTAGCCTGGCTAAAGGCACTGGGGCACATTCTCTTTCTGTCTTCCTACATGCTGTAGTTGGCTCTTTGTGCACAGACCCTATGCACAATGATACTAAGCACTTGTTTACATTTTGTATGGGGTGGTGCTTCTTAGCATTAGAGTTGCAGAGCTATAGGCTTCTGTCAAAGTCTTTTTTTGGCCAGAGAAGATGGCCTTCATCATGTTTTTGAATTCATACATTCCTTAGTTGGTTGTCTTCTTAAAATACCCAAATGTACTTAGGTCTAACTTACCCTACTTTCAGAGAGTTAGCATTCATGTATCCTCTTACAGAGTTGGTATAGCAGAGAATAAGAGAAAGGGAAAACATTTTTCTAAGCCAGTTAGATACTTAAAGTCACCTATGAAATAGATACAACAACATACTACTAAAAATCAGATATAATAGAGTTACAGATTTTTAGAGGAAAGCGAGGCTAAGCTGTATTAGGTTAATAGCCAGAATAACTTAGGTTTATTGATTGGTCATCTGCTTTCTGACAGGCATTGTTCTTAGTGTCAGTGATCCAGAGATGAATATTAGATAAGGTTCTTAGGACCTGGTAAACTAATGATAAGTAAATACCTGCAAAGAGAGCTACAGGAGTATGTTTATGAGGTATTTAGACAAGCCTGCATAGGGTCAGGGAATCAATGACTTTTGAATGAAATTTTTTTACAAATTTAGGGTTTTTTGAGCTAAAATTTACATACAGTAAAATTTGTCCTTTTATTTTTTTTATTTTTATTTATTTTTTTCATTTATTTTTATTAGTTGGAGGCTAATTACTTTACAGTATTGTAGTGGGTTTTGTCATACATTAACATGAATCAGCCATGGAGTTACATGTATTCCCCATCCCGATCCCTCCTCCCACCTCCCTCTCTACCCGATTCCTCTGGGTCTTCCTAGTGCACCAGGCCCAAGCACTTGTCTCATGCATCCAACCTGGGCTGGTGATCTGTTTCACTATAGATAATATACATGTTTCGATGCTGTTCTTTCGAAACATCCCACCCTCACCTTCTCCCACAGAGTCCAAAAGTCTGTTCTGTACATCTGTGTCTCTTTTTGTGTTTTGCATATAGGGTTATCATTACCATCTTTCTAAATTCCATATATATGTGTTAGTATGCTGTAATGTTCTTTATCTTTCTGGCTTACTTCACTCTGAATAATGGGCTCCAGTTTCATCCATCTCATTAGAACTGATTCAAATGAATTCTTTTTAATGGCTGAGTAAGATTTGTCCTTTTAATGTATACATTTCAATGCGTTTGACAAATGTATGAAGTAAGTAACCACCACTACTGTGAATAATGCTGCTGTGAATAATTAAATATAAGTCTTTGTGTTGATATAAGTTTTCATTTCTCTTGAATAAATGGAATTTCTGGGTCTTATGGTAAGAGCTGTGTTGAAATTTGTAAGAAACCGTGAAACTTTTTCCAAAGTGACCATCATTCTGCATCCCCATCAGCAATGTATCAAAGTTCCTTGCTTTTGTAAGGACTTATTATTGTCAGTCTTCTTAATTTTTGCCATTCTGATGGTATCTCATCCTAATTTTGATTTCCCTAATGATGTTTTACATTAAGAAAATGTACATTTGTTCTCAATCCTCCACCTTCTTCTTTTTTGTGTATGAAGTATTTGTTCAGATCAACCATTGTTAATATTTTGATGCATATGATTTTAATCTGTTTCCTCTCGAGGTATATATATATGTATAAAATATTTTATGTTTGTAAAATTTTTGCATTTCTGCTAATCTTGAAACTGATTTCATAGTGCTTTCTCCTTTTCTGTCATAAAATGGGACACTTCTTAAAATTGGTTTATAGTTTTCATCCTAAGTTTATTATGGCAGGTCCATCTTTTGGTATCGTTGTATTCAGATGAGTAAAGATATAGGTTAACAGGAAGCATGTGATTAATTCTGCTTTAGTAACAGATATGGTGGGTATGGAAGTCAGGTAAGTGTTCACAGGAATTTTCTGCTGCTGACTTTGGCCTTTGTATCTCTAGCTAGAGAAAGAAAAGATGAAATGTTCTGTTCTGGTAGTGTTTGTTCTTTCCCCCACTTGAACCCTCACTTTAATTCCTCATTGCAAAAGCAATTAAAAAACATTTTAGCCACAACTCTTTCTGATCAAGTAATCAAGTTTGTTTTTATAGACTTTATGAGTCTATATGAGTCTTTATGAATTTTGAGTTTTTAAAAATTCTTATTTCTTCAATTTTGAAAGTTTTATTACTCCACTTTTTAGATGAAGTTTAATTTGAAGTAACACTGACTGAAGCCCAAATCAGTTGTATTTGAAAGAGTAGTTGGTAGAAAATAATTAGTAGACTTTTAAAGGTTTTGGGGACTGGATATTATCTTTAGACTATCTTTTTGAAGATAAAAAATAATATTAACCTTTTATGTTTTTTCTAGGACTTCATTTTTTTTTTAAAGCATTGACAGACTAATTGAACTTATTTTTTTAAAATTTTATTTATTTTTGACTGCATTGGGTCTTTGTTGCTTGCCTGGGCTTTTACTAGTTGCAGCGGTGACTGGGGCTACTCTGTATTATGTTATGGTGCTCAGGTTTCTCGTTGGGATGGCTTTTCTCATTGTAGAGCACAGACTCTAGGGTGCATGGGATTTAGTAGTTGTGGTGCTTGGGCTTACTTGCCCCAAGGCATATGGAATTTTTCCAGACCAGGAATTGAACCCATATCCTCTGCATTGCAGGTGGATTTTTAATCACTGGACCACCAGGGAAGTCCTGGATTGTGTTTTCTTTGAGATTAAAGAATGTATAGTATGCCTCTTAATCCCCTGTGCTTAAGGAATTTGCTTTCTGTAACAATCTCAAGAAGTGTTTGTGGAAAATGTGTGTGAAGGATGGTGCCTGTGATCTCATGTGATGATTTTGTGAGAACATTAACTAAAACAGGAAACTCTAGATTGATTACCTTGTCTTATGATGTGCAGTTTGTTTTCTGCTGGCTTGTTAGACATAGCCAATTATTTTTCAACATTGAAGTGGGTCCTGTCATTTTCTAATCACATTAAAACTTGATTGGAATGAGATGAACTAATAATGTATTTTCCTCCTCTCTTAGATTCATGCCCGAAACCAGAATGAAATAATCTTTGGGCTGAATGATGGCTATTATGGTGCTCCGTTTGAACACAAGGTAAGAGGATTTGCATGATGCTGTGAGTTTTGTTAGTGCAGGTGTGCATTGATACATCAGGCAAAAGCTCTGTGTAAATAGAATCATATTTTTGGTGTAAGTTTGTTGTTTAGTGTGGCTTAGGGTGAAAACTCATATCGTAACTGCACCATACATCTTTTCTAAATCCATATTATATTAATTTTTCTAAAAGAAAATCTCAACTGGCTGTTTTCTAACAATTCTTTAGGGGTTAAAGAAGAATAATGGCTTTTGATTAAATGTAATACAATTTCATTAAATATTTCAGATATCTGTTACAACTTTAAATAAATTTAAGAAGCCTGAGGCAAGTTATATTATAGTCAGTTATATTATAGTCTTTGCTGTCTCTGTATTTAAAGGTGGTTAGAGAAAGGAGAAGGAATTTATTTTTACTAAGTGCCTGCTCTCTGTGCTACCATGTCAGGTGATTCATGTTTTTTATCCTATTTAATTTTAGCCACAAATCAGTGAAATGAGTTTTCTACATGATTTCCTTAGTGGTCATGTTGTTTCCTAATTCTTGATGATCTGAAATGCTATTGCTAGAATGCTCCATTCAGTGGCTATTTATTGAGCACCTGCTATACATCAGCCACTGTGCTCTAAGTGCTAAGGGTACAATGGTGAGCAGACAGATTTCCCTGCTGTCATAGAGTGTATGGAGGAGAAACACACTGGTAAGGTAACCTAACAGGTAACTATATAAACATAAATGGTGGCAAGTGCTATAAAAGCATGTGATGATCTTACCTACTCTAGTGGCTCAAGAAAGGTCTTTGGGACTTGACTTTTAAGGTTGCAATCCTGAGGATGAATGAAAGTGAACAATGTGGAGAGAATGAGAGCTGAATAGAGTGAGCATTCTGAGTAGAGGGGAGGGTAATGTTGGAAGACCATGAAATGCTAGAGGAAGTGGTGAGTCTTAAGGGACTGAAGGAAGGTCTGGGTAATAAGGGAAAATGATACCAGATGTGACTGGAAAGGTAGTCAGGGACCACATACCAGAACCTTTTAAAAGGTTTTATTCTAAGATCAGTGAAGTGTGTTGAAGGATTTTTACCATGGCAGAGGTATAATTAGATTTGTGTTTTAATAATTTTACTCTGGCTGCTGTAAGGACTGATTTAGAAGAGGCAAGGATGTATGTGGGAAGACAGGAAGAAGGATCTTACTTATAAGTGTATATCAGGTAAGAGATTTGATACTTTGGAACAGGGTTATGGTAGAATAGCAGATAGATTTAGGAAGGTTTTAGGAGGTAAAATTGTTAGGACTTGGTTTGAATTTAGGGTAAAGGATAGAGGAAAAAAGAAGTTGTTAAGGATGACTTTTGGGTTTCTCGCTTAGATGAAATAACCAGATGGATAAAAGTACCAGGCGCTGAGAGAACTAAGGAACTGGAGGAAGACCAGCTTTGTTGGAGGCAGATCGTGAGTTGAGATTTGATCATACAGACTGAGAATACCTCAAGATAGCCCTGTGTAGGTTTTAAAGGAGACATTTGGATTATATGAATCTGGAGTTCAGAGGAGAGAAGCAAGATAGAGATATAAATAGCGAGATACAACAATGGCATATAGTTACTGAAATCATGAGTTCAGAGAAGATAGACCAAGGATAAGCAGTACTTAGTGAGAAAAAAAGGACTTAGTAATGGGCCTGAGGGTCTCCCACTTTTAAAGACTAAATATGGGAGGAGATGTTGTAAAAGGTGGCAGAGAAGGAATGGTGAGAGATAGATGTGGAAAAGGGAGTGAAATCTCTTGTGGAATCTCAGGCTAAAGAAAGAGGTTTTTGTTTTGGTTTGATTTTGAACCAAACCAAAGACAATGATTGATGAAATGAGAGAAGTTTAAAGACACATTCTTTGCTAAAACAAACAAAAAGCAAGATAATAAACATCTCTGAAACAGCAGTGGAATAGAAGCACAAAGAAGTGGGCAGAAGCATTTGATATAATGGGCTGAAAGATGTGCTTCTTTGGGCAAAATGAACACTAAATGAGCATAGAAGCTGAGATAGGGCTCTCCACATTACAAAAGGAGGCTGAAAAAAGATATCTTAGGGACACCACTCATCTTTAAGGATAATTTTAAAAGGGAAAATCTTAAAAGCTCATAGAAAGAAAGGAAATATTACCTATAAATTAGACTGACAGCAGACTTCTCATCAGCAACAGTAGATTCAAGAAGAAATGTATCTTCAAAGTGCTGTTAACTGTTAAAGTACAATTCTATTTCTGGTAAACATTCAGTTAAGAGTGAGGGTGAAAGAAAGACAATTTTAAGTATCCGAAGACTAAAAGTTTACTGCTTCTGTCTATACTGAATGTTGTAGATAAAGAATTGATCCCAAAGGGAAGATATGGGATGTAGCAGCAAGTTATAGCAAGGTGTATAAAAGTGGTAAAACACTAGTGAATTTGGCTAACTACTGACATACCAAAAAGCACACAAAAACTAATTTATACCATAAATGATAAAACAAATCACGACTGTTGTTCAGAGTGGACCAGAGCTAGTCTAGAACTGTCACCAGTCTGTGATAAGCCAAGTATAAAAAAAGTGAAAGTAAATGTTTTTAAACTTTTATAGCCATTTGACATTATTGTGCCTTTATTATTGTATTTTATTAAAGTATCAGCTCACAGTGAATTGAAGGAAAAGCAACTGACTCTTCTCCACAGAGAGTTTGAGGACTCTGTTTGCTCTAGACAACAATAATAAGGTGAGGGAGGCTGTTTGAAGAGTAAGACTCATTGATTTGTTTGGGAGGAGGCTAAAGATTTTAAACAAGTTTAAAATTTCTTATAATAGCTTGTGGTTAAGTGTGCATGGTAAAAATGTAAAGATTCTTACTAAATACAAGAAACAACATAGATTTTTAATTGACAGAAAAAGGGGAGTTATAAGGAGTAGCAAACTTTGTCAACTTGATAGGAGTCAGAAAAGGAAAACAAAAAACAAATAGTAAACAGAAGCATGTGGTACCGTGATAGAAATAAGTCCAAATATACTTGTAACCACAGTTACTGAATATGGATAGAATATCTGTAGTTGAAATATTTCATAAAGGATTAAAATATTCTAAGGCAGCAAGACTTTAAGAATGTATGTTCTATATGGAAGATGAAAGGTTACTTGTGAAGCTATCACAAGGAAGCATGTTTTAAAGCAACTTTTAAAATAGTGACTGAAGTTTTGGTCGACCAGTTCTTCAGCATTCCTGGTTTTTTACATTAGCTGTAACCAGAAACACATCTGATGATTATGTTGCTGTTAATTCCTGTCCACGTTAAAGTATCTTCAGCCACCATGGTCTAAAAATTGAAGTTTATTTGCTCAAAACTTTTGCCTCTTTGTTTATCTGCTTCTCAAAAAGGATTTACACATTTCTGTTGAGTTGTTAGGAATCTAGTAAATCTCTCAGCTTTTTACTGCGTTGGATGAGTATTCAGTCTCACTTCCAGGGATGTGTTTGGAAACTATTTAATACATTTGAAAATCTTTGACTAATATACTACATATTGACTAATTTACTATACTGTGGGTCTGAATCCTTCATTCAGTAACTTCTGCTGGCATTATTAGGGAGTGACACCTTGTTAATTTTATGTAGTAAAGTTTCATTTATTTGGCTTACAAATGTAAACTCTTACATATTGAACAGCAATGCAGACAAAAAATAATTGGATAAATGATAATAAAAATCTATTTTTAGTTGTAAACATGATTCATGATTTTTTTCTGTCAGCAAATATCAAGTATCTACTATATGCCCATCGTTATACTAAGTACTCTAGGATGTGGAAATGTTAGGTGCAGACTCACCAGCATTTATTCTTTTACCTGAGATAAAGTAGCATTTTTTCCAGAAGAGCTCCAGTTTACAAATAGGTTTAGTTTGAAAAATTATTTTTTATGTCAGTTGTTTGGATCTTAACACAGTGAGTTATAGCAGAAAAGTAACTAATTTGAAGAGAACCTTAGGAAGAGGTTGGTGAATCAGGCTAGGTGACCGGGAGAGATGTTTCCCAGGTGGATTTTGCTACTGGGAGGGCAGTTGAAGGAGCATAGGGAATGAGAGGCTGTTGGGCCAGCTCTTGATCGAGTAAGCTGGAGACTTTTCAGATCCTTGTGCAGGAGTTTTACCTTTAATACAGACATGTAAAGTTATCATTATCTGAATTTCTTTTTGGCAACAACTTTTCTTTTTGGAAGAATGCTGACAGCTACTTGGGTGAATGAACACTATTAGTGGTTAAGAATATGGGTGTTGGAGTCAGATTGATGTGAGCTGTATTCCAGGCACCACTTCTGCTTACCACGAGAGAGATTTTGGGCAAACCGAGTCATCTCTGAGTTTGTTGTTTTGTCTGTAAATGGACATAACAATGTCTTCCTCATCATAAATTATTTTGAATATTCAAGGTGAAAATGTATATTATGAGCCTGGCACATGAGGAAAGTTCAGTATGGACACCACTACTCAGTAGTCTCTAGACCATGTGAAAAGAGGGATTACATCTCTCATCCTTACCACTCTGTCAGCAGTTGTGTCCCTTGAACAGTGCCCAGCATGTAGGAGGGGCTCACTTTGTTAACAAATGCAGGTGAATGCTTGCTCTATTTAGAACTGTCATAGCAATAATTGAGATTAAAAATCTCAAAGGGATAGTATTTTTCCTGTCTTACCCTACCTTATCCCTAGCCTCAACTTTTGGAGTTTTATTTTTATATAACTTATATTGTCATAATAACTATTATGCTATTGATAAAGTATAAAAAGCTTTAAATTATTAAGAGTTCTTGTTCTGACAAAAAACTGTAGCAGCAATGTCTTCAGAGTCCAGTAGATGGCAGTGCATTCTCATTTTAATGGGAAAAAAAAATTGAAACAGGAGTAGAATTGAGCAAACTCTGGGAGATAGTGAAGGACAGGGAAACCTGGCGTGCAGCATTCCATGGGGTCATAAG